CTGATTAGTACCCAGCCCTGTTGGCGGACCTCCCAGGATGACTCGATCCAACAGCATCCCAGCACATGACGCGTCAATGGAACTGTATGGAGCATCTCCCCTGGGCAGCACACTGTCCCTGGCTGAACGCCCTCGCAGCATGGGAATGGTTCGTTCTGGATCCTTCCGAGACAAGGAGCCTGACGAAGGTTAGTCTGCTGATTGATTTTGATATCTGTTAAATAACGTCCTGTCCTGTCTTGCTGTTCGACATCGTCCTCACTACTAAATCGCCTTCTTATTCGTTTATTTTGTTGCTCCTTTTCTCTTTTTAGTTCATGGCTCAGTACTCTCCCTGGCGTCCAATGCTTCATCAAGCTACTCTTCGGTGAGTGTGGGCGGCATGCAGACTCAGGTAGCTACAGTTCAGCATGTGGTGTGGGGTGTATTTACTGTATGTGTGAGTGTTTGGGGATGTTTTGCATGTTTCACACTTGTTACACATTAAAGACAAGACTTTCTCCCTTGGTATTCCTATATTAGTATCCTCTTCTCTCTGTACCTTATCTAACATCTTTTATTCCGCCTGCATCCAAAGGCTGAGGAAAGGATTCAGGGAGAGGTAAGCATTTCATTTCCTGCACTTTCTTCTTTTCTGTCTCATCATTTTCTTTCCTTTCATTCATCACTCTCTTTCCTGTCATGTGGAAGTCTGTGGAACAGGTCTGTCATTTATTTCATGAACACTACCTACTCTTGTGTCATGTCAGCCATTGTCAGATTCAGTAATCTTGGTCCTTTTATAATGTGACATTCTTGTTTCTCCTCACAGCAAATCCGTAAGCTGAGGCGAGAGCTGGAATCATCCCAGGAGAAGGTGTCTAACCTGACCAATCAGCTCACAGCAAACGTATGTATTGTTAGACTGCCTCCTTAATCATTAACTAACATGTCAGTTCAAATGTACAAATTTAACTTAAGGTCCTTAGAAAAGATGCTTATATAAATATCATTTCATCCACAAGTACGTTTCAGCATTTGAAGGGTTTCCTTAAAGTCACTTTTCTATTGTTCAAATGTTCCTAGCAATAAAAAAAGAGCAATAAAAAGGGTAAAATACAGAACTTTGCATCATTGGCAACTCATATTGGCTTTGCATTGTTTTTAAGTGATTAAAACAAAAGAAAGCCATACATATAATAAAAACAAATAAATTTAATTAATGCCTAGATAAGAAAAAATTCAGATAAGAAATCATAACGAGAAAAACACGGCTCTGACATTCATCAGTTTTAGTTCCATTTTCAGGTCATCATTTAAGCCACTATGTGCAACCTTTTATCTCCAGATAGCTGAAAAATTAGTAGTAGCCCCTCCCTCTAATTTTTTGCCCCAGTACTTGTTCCTCATCTTGAGCAACAGTCCATCTCAGTGAGGCTGAAGTAACTGATACTCCTAAAGACACCGCAGGTGTTGAACAAGTGACAGCAGGAAAAAAAGAGCGATGTCTGAGCCTTTGCTGTTATTTTGTTTCTTACTGCTGTCCTTATTTGCTGTTTTCTATGATAAGGAAAATTTTTATGTAAGCAGTTTTTCTCTGTTTCACAAGGTCACAGACTGACAGTTCAATTGAATTTAAAAACAGACCGGACTTGCACAGTGCATCAAACCTCTTTTAAATTAGGTTAGTGTAGCAGCTTATTGCTGCTGTGGTTAGGTTCAGGTCCAGAACCTAACCCTGTGCCTCTTGTGATTTTATCCATCTATCCAGTCTGCTTCCTTTCCTACTTCAAAAGACAAGGAATTTACCACTCACACAAAATAACAAAGCCAGAGACACAGAAAATTCAAGCTGTTGGATGTCAGTCATAGATCACTTCTCTGCAGTATCAGCACATTTCTTCAATCCATGAGAGGCCTAAATAATGTTAACCTCCTTCTGAACCTCTTCCCAAGCTTACACACATGCACACACAGGTGCCTTAAAAGGTTGTTTCTGTATGTCAGCATTTTCGCTGGTCCACGTAGATGAATACAGGCAGCACAGGCATTATACAAGAGTTCATGCGGCACACATCAGTCAAGTGTTTCTGTATGTGTGCGTGTGTTTCTTTCCCTGAGATACTGTCTGACCTTTTGATCCGAAGGCAGTGAACAGGAAAAGCAGATGCATGAATCATGTCCTGATTATCTGCTGGATTAACGATTGGGCCATATACATTATTTTACTATATTAATGGATTCTGTAAAGAAGACTGGAGAGTAATTTTGCTTTCCTCCTCTGAGCTAAAGTGGGTGTGTGTGTGAAGCAGAGAGATTAGGGAGGAGGTGAATTTCCCACAGGAAACACCCTTTGTGTGATGTTCAGCTTTTAGCACCTCATAAAAAGTACGATGCATTAGAGGCAAAGAAGCTCTCAATTTGTCCATGAATGGTTGTCTGTTTCTAGTTGGTCTCCCTGTACATCCTGATGTCCTTTCTGAGATCAGTAATAATAAGAAAGTATCAGTAGAATTATTACATATCCTGTTAATTTCTTGTTTTAGACAGCTACATAGATGGATGGCAGGTTCGGGAAGAAATGGAATTGTTGCTGATGTTTTTGCTCTTCAAGTTACTTTTCTTCTTTTCCAAACAGGCAAATCTGGTGGCCGCCTTTGAACAAAGTTTGGCATTGATGACAACTCGGCTTCAGAGTCTGTCATTTAGCCATGAGCAGAAGGTAACAGCACTCATCACATCCACACTTTCAAACACACACAAACCTGAATTCCAGCTGCATTCCACTACTATGCTCATCTTTCGAGCAGCAAGCGAAGAGCAGGCAATGATTGTGCTGACATGGAGTGAGGTGACTGTGATCACAGCCTGCGGTGAGGAGCTGAATGAAGGTTAGAGGCCCTGGCTGCAGTCCCACAGCAAGAGTCTGTGTGAGAAAAGAACTGAAGATTTAAAAAAAGAAAAAAAAACCTTCACTTTAGGATGAGCGATAAGCTCAAAGTATAAACAGTTTGCAAATGCACTCACAGTGAACATCACGATCCTGCATTCTTCTGCCTTTTTATCTGTTTCGGTGAGAATAAACTAAGCAGTGCCTGAGGTAGTGCTCAGTGTGTGTGTTTATAAAAGTGAGGAGTCACTCTCAGTACTTCATGCTTTGCTACTCACACTGAAAGCCCTGTCTGGTCCACTGCAGAAGAAGTCTTTGTTGTTCATGCCAGTGCACTGACCTGTGCAGCTCAGCCTGGAGCACAGCCTCCTTAACCTTGAGGAGATGGGCAGTGGAGTCAGATCAACCCTAGCACACAATAAGCAGCATAGAGCGGCTTTGTTCTGGACTTTGTCCTTTTGAACCGTTAACATTGTGAGAGGGATAAAGCCCACCAGGTGTCTGAGCTCAGTCTGTGTGTTTGCGTTCTAGTGCTAAAGCATCAGACAATAATACCAGTATGGGAATATATCAGTGTTCATTTAAAATGGCCACAAATTTGATTAAAAAATTTCAAACTTGGCAAGATGAAATAGTTGAACTATTCATGGACATCAGCAAAGTTACTTTGATAATAAGCTGTTCAGTTGCATCTTTTCATTTTCCTCATCACTGTCTGTTACTAGATACAAGAGCTCATTATGCATGTGCATTATGTGTGTGCAGGACTCAGAGCTAATAGAGCTGCGGGAGACAATCGAGGCACTGAGGTCCAAGAATGAAGAAGCCCAGGCTGTCATCCAAGGGGCCTTAAACAATCCAGACATGAAAGGTTTGGAGATGATCCAATTGATGTGTCTGTCTGTCTTCTGATTCTCTGCACATCTGCCTGTGTTTTGATGCTGATTTTTTCTGTTTTCCAGAGCTACGAATTCGACGTCAGAACTCATGTGAGAGTATCTCAAGTCTTAACAGCCTGACCAGTATGTCGAGTGTTGGCAGCTTGAAGGACCAAGATGCCAAGAAGAAGAAGAAGAAAAGCTGGGTAAGAATTAACACAGCGTTTACTCTCACAGCCTGGCGTTTGTCTATGTTCAGACTGTTTTCCTTATTGATAATGACAAAGCAGCCTGGATAATAAAGTATATATCTTTCCCTCCTCTGTTGTGTTATTTTGCTGTTTTAGGTCTTTGAGGTGAGTGCAGTCATGGTGTCCCTATAAAACCTTTATAAGTTTCTGTCATACAGCATGATGGACCATTCAAAACTGTAACAGAATCCTCAAGTACTCTGCATCTCTGCTGATTCACCTCCTAGACTACGGATTGGCTACCTGTTCTGTGAATATTTCATTTGAATGGATGGCTGTAATTCAGAGCGGCAATCAGCAGACATGATGTTCCATTCAAAGTGGACTTCTCAGCTTAATCATCAAAGTTTATTTACTGCTGTTTTCAGTTATGTTTGCCCTCCTTTCCACCATACCTTACTGTGTATTTTATCTTTCAACAGAAGTATGTGCAGTCAGTATTATGACCATCATCCAGCTTTATAGCATTAACCCTTACTCACCCAGCAGCTGGGTACTAAATCTGCAAAAACATGCACTGACTGTAACTTTGACCTGCAGAAAATGGCTGAAAACTTAAAAGGAATAGTTTCTCATTTCTGCAATTATAAATTTTCTTGCTGAAACCTGATACCACTCTAATGTCTGTCTGATAAGTATAAAACTACCACCAGACAGTGATTAGCGTAGCTTAGCATAAAGACATGAAATAGGAGGAAATAGCCAGCCTGGCTGTGTCTGGAGGTAATAAAATCAGCCTAACACAGCACCTCTAAAGTTCACAGATTGGTCTAGTTTGTTACATTCACACAAAAATCTAAATCTAAAAACAACAGCCTATGGTTTTTAGGGAGTTATATGCTGTAAAAAATGAAATGACAAACTATTCCTTTAATGTTTAGCATGCATCAAATTAACAATCCTAATACCAATTTCTTTTTTTAACCTTTTAGTAATAATTGCTGCCATTCATTGAGCATTAGATCAAGTCTGTCTGTCTCCCTTCTTGTCCCTGATCCCTGTTTGTCTGTAGCTGAGGAGCTCCTTCAACAAAGCATTCAGCATTAAGAAAGGCTCCAAAACATACTCAGACATCGAAGAAATCGCCACCCCCGACTCCTCAGCTCCCAACTCACCAAAGATGCCTCATGAGGAGGGAGGAGGAGAAAATCAATCTTCATCCCACAAAACCTCAGTTTCTGCCACCTCCTCTGTGTAAGTACCTGTACACCTTACTGCAGCTCTTAGCTCAGCAGTAAGAAAGTCAGTTTAGCTCTCATTGTGGCTGGCTCTGATGATTGCATGCTGTCCCCTTCAGGATCATGGAGACTGCAGAAGAGGGCGACAGTGAGGAAACAGCAGTGTCAGAGCTACGCTCAGAACTCTGGGACAAAGAGAGGGCGCTGACAGACATCCGACTGGAGGCCTTAAGCTCCGCTCATCAGCTGGAGCAACTCAGAGAAGCCATGAACAATATGCAGGTTTGTTTTTCTCCTAAGTACATGATCACTAAAGTATAAAATTAAAATACTGCATTTGTGTTTATATCACTTGAGATGAAACTTTTGCTTTGCCTCTGTTCCAGTCAACGGTGGAAAACCTGAAGGCGGAGAATGACCATCTGAAAACAGGAAGTCAGCTCCATGTCCCAGGCTCCCGTCCCACTTCTTCCACCTCTCAACCTTCAGGCTTGGCCTCTCTTCTGGGGCCGTCACTGAGGCAGCCGATGAGTATGTCCCTCACCAAATCCTTCAGTCTCAGTCTGAATGATTGTAAAGATCCAGGTAAGAGACAGACATAGAACATTCAGCTTGTGGTGTGCATGAAAAAAATTGATGTTTCTCTCATGCCTTGTTTCCTCCTCCCTTTCAGATGTGTCTCCAGCTGACATGCTGAGTGTGTCTTCTCAGCGGGATGAGGTGTGTGCGCAAATACTGGTTCGTATAGGGGATCAAGCAAAGGTAAGCCCAGAGCACCTTTAATAGCTACACTATCCAATAATGTCAACAGCTTTAAATTGAAAAGCTTGAATTGTACATTATTTCCTTCTCTGTATCTCTAGGGCGGTAAACAACAGCAGGAGTATTACCTGGGCTCAGTGAGGGTCAGTGCGAAGACTGACTGGGCCAGTCTCGACTCTCTTATAGCAAAGACCTTCAGAGTAAGTTGAAACGTATCCCCTGTCGCTGTGTAGAAGGTAGTGGTTCTTACAAATAATGTAACTATGATTTAACAAACCAGTGCTTACATTTTTGTTGTTGTTTAACCAGGACTACTTAACTCAAGTGGACCCAACAGCCAGCCTGGGTCTGTCCTGTGATTCACTGCACATGTACCAGCTGACCCAGGGAGGGCAGAGAGTGATAGGAGGGAACAAGCCTCCGGCCTCACCGTTTTGTTGTCTCAGCAGTGGTTCACCCCGAATATTTGTCACCCTAAAAGGTTAGTGAGTGTCCATGACTGATAATAGAACCCATGTGAGTTTTGCTTAAGCTTGTGTATTATTCACAACCACTTATAGTTGGAATCATTAGGTCTCAGGTAATTTTAGTAAGCTACACTTTAAAACTGAACTCTCAGACCTGTTGTTCTTTGTCCTCCGACTCCGACTAAATATAAATCTTGCTTCTTTCTCTCTTGTGTGTTTGCCACTCTTTAGGTCTTAGAGAAAAATGTGTTGACTCACTGGTGTTTGAGACTCTGATTCCTAAGCCCATGATGCTGCACTACATCAGCCTGCTGCTGAAGCACAGGCGACTTGTTCTGTTTGGGCCCAGTGGCACAGGAAAGACATACCTGGCTCAGCATCTAGCGCACTACCTCCTACATTGCAGCCGGACCGACTCCTCTGAAGCCGACCATGAGCCCTGTCTCCAGGGTCGCAGCGCTGCTGTCACCTTCAACATGCATCGCCAGTCACAGAAGGTAAAAGACAACTTTGGAGTTTTGTCAGCCAGTTATTTTGACATTTTTTCATTGTTAATTGTGAGTAGGGATTTATGAACACAGAACCATATATATTCACCTCTTCCTGCTTTCACAGGAGCTGCAGTTGTATCTGTCCAATCTAGCGAATCAGATTGACAGAGAAAGTGGAGGAGAACTGCCCCTGGTTGTTATCATAGATGACATTACTGATTCAGCAGCCATCACTGAGCTTGTTAATGGAGCGCTCACCTGCAAGCATCACAAATGGTGAGACACTTCAAATAGTTATAGTATTTCAACCAGAGTTAAAATAATTCATTTGTTCACTGAACATTCACTGAACAGACTTTCCTTTGCGGTGTTTCAGTCCATACATCATTGGAACGACCAATCAGCCAGTGAAAATGACATCTAACCATGGACTGCATCTCAGCTTCAGGTGAGCATGAAGCCAGAAAATGGTCATAATGCCTCCTCTTGTTTGATACTTTGTGTATTTTGCCTTTGTTTAAACTAAACGTTGCATTTCTTGCATATGGTTACAGGATGGTGATGTTCTCCAACAATGTGGAACCAGCTAATGGGTTCTTGCTGAGGTACCTGCACCGTAAAGCAGTGGAGGCCTACCAGAAGGATGAGCAGGACTCATCACACCACCAAGCTCTCTTCCATGTACTCGACTGGGTCCCTCAGCTCTGGTACCACCTCCACACTTTCCTGGAGAAACACAGCACCTCAGACTTCCTTATAGGTGAGAAACAGTGGACAGTTCAGGTAGAGAACAGGGGAATACTTGGAAATGTAACAGTGAGTAATGAATTTTTGCCTCCTCAAGGTCCCTGCTTCTTCCTGTCATGCCCAGTATCAGTGGCAGAGTTCAGGCAGTGGTTCATAGACCTGTGGAACCACTCCATCATACCGTACTTGCAGGAGGGAGCCAAAGATGGCATCAAGGTAAACACACACAGTGTAACACACGTGTTGTTTCACATATACTCACCAGCCACTTTATTAGGTACACCTGTACTATTGTATGCAAGTCAATGCAACACTTCCGCCTTAACATTTGTGTTTATGAAGCTCAAAATGTTTCAGTTTTTGGTGAAATTGTCATAAATGTATAAATTCAATTATATGTTTGTTATCGAGATTATAGTTAAAGGTGGTTTTCTACTGGACTACATTATATTCAGGGGTGGTCCTAATATTATGAACCGCTTATGTATTT